TGGATTAGCTAAAATGTCGGCTAGGTCAATAAAATGTATTTTTCTTGGATATTCGCGACTCCAAAAGGGTTATCGTTGTTATTCTCCAATACTTAAGAAACATTTTATTTCAGCCGATGTCACTTTCATTGAGTCGTCCTTTTATTATCCATTATCTTCAGTTGATACCCCATCATGTTTGGACTTCACCTCATATCTCCGGCCCATCCATCAGGAGACTCCCATTAACCCCCCATCTGATGAGCACCCAAACTTCCCTCCTATGTCAGACCGTCCATTACAGGTATACCATCGACGTCCTCGACCTCCTCCCATTGAGCCCATCGTGGCCACGCCCATTGATTCCCCTACGACGGATTCTGCATCACCACCACCACCTACTCCAGCACTTGAAACCACTCGGGATGATTTGCCCATTGCCCTCCGAAAAGGTACGCGTTCCACATGAATCCACATCCCATATATAACTTTTTGAGTTATCACCGCCTCTCTACCCCTTACCATGCTTTCATTTCACACCTGTCTCATATATGCATTCCTAAAACCACACATGAGGCACTGGCACACCCGGAGTGGCGTAAAGCCATGTTGGCTGAGATGGAGGCTCTTCATTCTAGTGGGACGTGGGACTTAGTCCCTCTTCCCACTGGCAAATCAATGGTGGGATGTCGGTGGATTTACACAGTTAAAGTTGGGCCTGATGGGGAGATTGATCGTTTTAAAGCACGCCTTGTGGCGAAAGGGTATACTCAGATATATGGTTTGGATTACACTGACACTTTTTCTCCTGTAGCGAAGATAACATCAGTTCGTTTTATTTTATCCATGGCAGCAATGAGCCACTGGCCATTGTTCCAATTGGATATTAAAAACGCATTCCTTCACGGAGATCTGCACGAGGAAGTTTATATGGAGCAACCACCTGGATTTGTTGCTCATTATATGGTGTGCAGATTACGTCGTTCATTATATGGCTTGAAGCAATCTCCACGTGCATGGTTTGGGAGGTTTAGTGACGTTGTCTGCAACTTTGGCATGATTCGAAGTGATGTCGATCATTCTATATTCTACAGACATTCTGCTGGCAACAAATGTATTTATCTTGTTGTGTATGTTGATGACATTGTCATTACAAGTAGTGATGATCAAGGAATTGCGCTCCTCAAGCAACATCTCTTTAGCAAATTTCAAACAAAAGACTTGGGAAAATTGAGATACTTCCTTGGCATTGAGGTCGTACAGTCTCAAGATGGAATTGCTCTCTCACAAAGAAAGTATGCCTTGGATATTCTTGAGGAAACAGGTTTGCTAGATTGCAGGCCAGTGGATACACCAATGGATCCAAACGTTAAACTCTTATCAGAACAAGGAGATCTTTTGCCCAACAAAGAAAAATATAGAAGACTCATCGACAAATTGAATTATCTTACCATCACAAGACCAAATATTTCATTTGCGGTAAGTGTTCTTAGTCAGTTTCTTGATAAGCCATGTACTGGACACTGGGATGCAGCTATCCGAGTTTTGAGATACATCAAGAAAACTCTAGGGCAAGGATTGTTGTTTGAAGATCGAGGCCACCATGATATTTTGGGATACTGTGATCGAGGCCACATATAAATCCGAACGGAGGATAGTATATGTGTGTGTGTGTCTATATATATTTATGTTGTTTTTAAATATCAATTAGGCAAGGATACAAAGTTTTCTCAAAAAAACCAAAGCCAAGCTTAGGAAAAAACGAGAAAGGATGGATGGCAAATGTGATGAAGCTGAAGAGGAGCTGAAGAAGTTGGAGAAACAAGCTGTTAAAATGTGGAAGGGAGGAGAGTATCAGTCCTTGAGGGCCATGATTAAGGGACGAGACTGGGGTTTCCCTATGAATGAGAAGGTATCCTTTATTTAATAATATCATGGGCCTTGCTGTTGCATTATCATTAACCATATACGAAGTATGTTTGTGCTAATGTTCGTCTCCATCATTTCATTGTAATCATTAAGTTGGACATCGCACTTCATTACAGACAAATGCTTATATACTAGGGAAAGATTTTGCAGTTTATTCATAAAGTTTTTCTGATTCTTCAATTAGACTTAATAAAATCTCTTTTTGCAAAAAAGAATAAGTGGGTGTTTGGATCTGATTCTTAAAACTGCTTCCGCTCCTTGAGGAAACGGAAGTTGGAGTGTTGGGGTAAAAGTGTAGAAGTGATTCTGGAGCTCTAATTCCTAGAATCAGTTTTTTTAGAAGTTGGGGGAGACCAGCTTCTAAGAACTGATTCTGCTTCTGCTTTAAAAAAGAAACAGAAGCATAATTAGTTCCAAATACCCCCTAACTCCATCCATCTGAGCTTCAACTTCAGCTTCTCACTTGTCTCTTTTGGACATCCCGGTTAAAGGTTTCCATTTTTTTTTATAAAATGAAATAATTAGCACTCTTAAACGACAACTTAATCCTCGAACATTAAAATAGGTCACCTATAACGTCACAATTATTAGCAATGACTTCATTAGATTAAATACCCATCAAAACTACTTGTGAAAATACACTCGAATAACCTCTATTTAATTATTGTCTAAGTAACAATGTCATTTTTCAATGAGAACCTTAAGTCGGGAGGGGGATCGTACTAACTGGTGCAGTTTTTAGACAGTCGACTACACAAATGTTGTTAGCAACCAATAATAAGTACTAAAGCGACCCTCCTTTGAGGGATAAATACATAATCTAAGTGCCATAGACTATAGGCATTCACTTGGAGTAGATTTTCTCACTACAGTGGGTTATAGATGTGTCTATCTGACCATTCTATGCCTGTCTTCCATTAATGCTCTGTAGTATATGTATGTTCTCATGGAAGGCGTCATTATGATTGACTGTCAGGTTGGAAGGCGTGCGTTGCAATTGCTTACGGAAGCAGCATATGTACAACCTCCTCCCCAACCTGCTTTTGCACTCGACATTAAGTCATTGTAAGTACCACCGGCTACTACTGCGTCTCCTTATTTTCTCTCATCAGTAATGATGTTGATCATTCTTGTGTTTCTATTTTCTATTATCCATTCGTCAATCGTCATGTTCTATTTTTCCTCATCCTTAATGCATGTGCACCCCTCAACATTACAGGCGCTACCCATATAATAACGTTGTAAAGTTTGACGGTCTCTTAGCACATTAGTAAGTCTTCTCTTTCTCTGTTCTAAATCTCTTGCATGTGAACATTCATCCCTGTATCATGTCATCCCTGGAACACGCATGAAAATTACGGTTGTATCATTTTGTTGTCTGAAAAAAGATCATATGCTTCTGTGAATTCTTATAAAATGCAGGAGGGAAAGGTTGAACTTCAACTAGGTGGACCAGTGACCCTCTTATATCATTTAGCAACTGGCAAATGGCTTATGGGAAATGACTATCGTGTTTCTTTGTACTCATTTGTGTATCAACGCGCACTCCACCTTTTAAATTATTGACTCGGTAGAAGTTTCTGTGAACCCTTATTTAACTCTAATATAAAACTATAAAATATTTGCAAATGTGTAATGCTCATGGATTATTATTGAAATGAAAATTTGTTACGGTACTCCGTAATATTTCTCTCGTAATGCTTATGCTTACTGTTCCCTCAGTCCATCCAGTTGATAGTTCAAATTTTCTACATCTTTTTAATAAGTAATTAAGTGCCAGTATTTGATAACTCGGTTTTTCCATACAAATACAATTCTTCTTCAAAGAAGTATCTTATATGCCTTCGTATCATCCGTACTCTGTTCCAAAATATTTTTCCATACATTCTCCACTCTCTTTGCGCCAAGACTTTTTAATTGTTTTAATGTATTGTGCTTTAGCGCAGATTTGATAAGATTGTTTTTCACAATTAAACGTAGCTTATACCAATACATGATTTATCTTTCTTTATTGCTTAATGTATTTATTCTCTTGGAAGATGGAGTCTGCTGCTCACTAGGTTATTTATATAGCAACTTTTTGATAATCAAATTAGAAATGTTGTCTAGTTGAGCACTTGAGCCGCCCAGAGATGAATGTAGTACTCCGTAGTTGATAAAAATTTGATTTTAAAAACATTTAACTTACATCCTAAATCCTAATACTACTTTTTAAATTATATTGTAGTATCTGAAAATCTTAAATGAGAAACGAGACCTTGAAAGTATTGCGAAATTTGGAACTTAGTACGCAGTACGGAGTACGAGTGATAAATTTGCGTAGTTTTACTTTATTGTTTACTCCATCTAAAACGAAAACAATTCCTAATAGAATAAAAAACAGATGAAATATAGATAAAAAACACTACCGAGTATTACTTTCAATACTTTGTTCTTTTTTTTTTTGACAAAAAAATACTTTGTTCTTAGATCAATGAAGATTTATGGTTTTAATAGATCATATGACGCTAATCTTAAAAGTAACAAAAATCTTAAAGCCCGCTACATGCTCGTTAAGATGCACGTTAGTCCAGCTGCCATTAAATAATAGGAGTTTAAAAGAAAACATAAGGCTTACTAGCGGTTTCACAAAATCTCATTGCCGAGTTACTACTGACGGTGACATCACCACTTCCGTCGAATTGCTACAACCGGTGACACTACCACTGTGTTGCGTAGAGGTGCTACCACCGCATTCCTGTCTACATCATCGGTGCCGATCAAAATAATGAAGAGTCTCTCTTCAAGCCGCTTGTTATACTTCATGGATGATCGAGAAGTATAATATATCTACGTAGGAATTTACAGCTTAGAAAAGGAATTCGAACTGTAGGAAAAGAGAAATTTGGAGAAGAACAGAGAGAGTTTATTCATGGAGTTCATATTACAAGCCCCCTCTTTCTCTACCGATCAGTAGTATATACAAGGTTAGCTATTACAACTAACAAGCTAACAAACTAACAAGAATCCGCTGTAACCAGCTAACGAACTAACAAGCTGTCACGTCCTTCTCTCTGCCTTATGTGTCATGCTGACTCACTAGGAACTTATTCCACGTAACAATCTTTCCCCCTTAAGATAAGCTTGACCTCAAGCTTACTGCAAGGTAGCTATAAAGTCTGGATATCTCTGAACAATGTCTTCATAAGGTTCCCTGGTAGCATCCTCCTTCCCTCCATTCACCCATTGTATTAACCAATAGACTGTTGCTGCATTTCCTTTCTTTGCTATTTTTCTGTCTAATATAGCTAAAGGTTGTACCTTCAATAGTTCTTGTTCATCTACCATAGGTAAGTAGCTTGCAACAGGAACTTCTCCATGATGTTTCTTGAGCTGAGAAATATGAAACACAGGGTGTATCTTGGAATGTTCAGGCAGCTTCAGTTTATATGCCACTTTGCCAACTCTCTTTTCAATTACAAAGGGTCCAAAAAATTTAGGAGCCAATTTCTGATGCCTTCTATAAACAACCGAGTGTTGTCTATAGGGTTGCAATTTAACATAGACCCAGTCTTCTTCCAAGAACTCTTTATCAGTTCTATGTTTGTCAGCTTGGATTTTCATCCTATCTTGGGCTCTTTTCAAGTGAAATTTTAGCAATTTAATACACTCTTCTTTGGCCCTAAAACTTCTATCCACTTCCTCAACTCTACTATCTCCGACCACATAAGGGTAATGTATGTCAAGAGGCTGACCATATACCACTTCATATGGTGTTTTTCCAATGGCAGAGTGATAATTGGTGTTGTACCACCATTCTGCTAAAGGAATCCAAGCTGCCCATTCTTTAGGATTTTCTCCAGTCATGCATCTCAAATAGGTCTGCAATCCTTTATTGACAATCTCGGTTTGACCATCCGTTTGAGGGTGGTATGCAGTGGATAACAGAAGATCTTGGCAAAAGATCTTGTCTCTATCACAAACAATTGTTTTAGGAATACCATGTAGCTTAAAAACATTATCCATATATGCTTTAGCTACTGTGTTGGTAGAGAAAGGATGAGTTAATAGGATGAAATGAGCATACTTACTCAAACGATCGACCCCCACTAAAATGGTGTCCTTTCCTTGAGACTTAGGTAACCCCTCTATGAAATCCATAGAGACATTACTCCATATAGCCTCCGGAATGGGAAGGGGCTGTAAACTTCCTGCCGAGGCTTGTAAGACATTACTCCAATTCATTCAAGATTCCACACTCTTGAATGAATACCCTTATATCTCTCTCTATTCTCTTCCAGTAGAACAAAGCTCCTGTTCTTTTCAATGTAGCTTGTGCTCCAGAGTGACCCCTGACGAGCACTTTGTCACGGTGCGTCAAAATAATTTCAATACTAAACACTTATACGTAGTATAGCGTAGTAGAGTTCGTATCCACAGGGAAAGGAATGATTTTCTTTCTATGAAACTAGTAATAAAAAGGGGGGTTTTGGTTTTGAGTGATTTAATTCAATTAAGAAACTAAGATGAACAACCTATATGTGTTTAATTCAAGAATAAAAGGGACTTGGCTTTGCTACTTTCCACTTGTTGATATATTTTAGTCGATCCTTGTTATATCTATAACTTATCCCCTCTCGAATACTCAATTGAGGAGTATCTCCAATTCATCGAGGGTAGTTATTAACAACGACCGTTCATTAATAACCCTTACTATTAATCAAATATAGAACACCGTCGTATACCGATATAATAGTATCATTCAATCTTTTTAACTCCTTGATGAAATCAATTGAGGTTGATAACCTTAACACAACGGTTCCGGTTTAACCAACAAAATTGATCCCTCTTAAGTCTATTAACCACGACCGTGCATTAATAAACCGAAATTACTTACTTTGTGAAACCACCAACGATTAACCATCAGTTCGTTGATCGTTTCTAGAAGTAATTAATGTCGGAACGTTAACTAATCGTCACTTAGCAACCCTCCAACATTAATATAGAATGAGATTATGGGAAGAATTAATAATCAATAGAAGAAGTTAAGAAAATAACTCACAACTTTAATAATCAACAAGCTTCAAAAGCAAAACCAAGAATGGAAGTTTAGCTCCTCATTTGGAGGCTAAACATAGCTAGAAAAATATAAAGAAATGCTATTCTAAACTGAGCTAAAGAGAATGGAAGAAGGGATGCCTTTTAGAGGAGAAAAAGAGTGCTATTTATAGGTGTTTTTCAACACCTTTGGCCGGGTACCCGACCGGGTATAGGTACATACCCGACTGGGTACCGGTCAAAATCAGATAATCTTCCACGTTTTTGTGTTCCAGCACGTTAATTTGTCTCGGGTCAAGTCAGACCCGACCGGGTCAAGTAAGGGACCCGACCGGGTTTGGTCTAAATCAGATTTTTCCAAATCTTTGTGATCTTCAGCATGTTCTGGTGTTCCGGGTCATATCTGACCCGACCGGGTCGAGTAAGAGACCCGACCGGGTCTTACCTTTTCTTCTTAGATCCGGTCTTCAACTGACCCGACCGGGTTCAAGGTCTGACCCGGTCGGGGTTTTGTGCTCCTGGGTATTTTTGTCTTCAGCTTTTCTCCCCTTTTCCTTGCTACAAACTCTATCACTATTCTATAACTACGAAAAGAAGGAGAGAACAATTACAAACAAAATAAAACAAGTACTTACAAAACAAAAGCGATGGAAAATCCACACTCAATCAACATAAAAACATACATTTATTGTAAGGAATAAATGTATTTAGATTTTGATGATGCTAGGTTTATTAGAATTTGAAAGTACCCCATTAGAAATTGTGTATTAGAATTTCTTTTGTAAGTTCTAGCTTAGTCTGCCTGCCAGAGTTCCATCTTGCCTCTACCAGAGTTGCTCCCAGAGTTGCTCACCAGAGAAGCCATCAGAAACTGGCTATCAGAAAGATACCAGAGTTGGCAACAGAGACGGACTTCAGAGATTGGACCAGAGAACCTCTTAAGACTCTGCTAAGTACCATCAGATTCCGGAAGCCCTTCCAACGGTCGTTAAACTAACGGGAAATCCCCTAACGGTTACGAACCTTTCAACGGAAGCATGGCACTGTACACGCATTAAATGCACATTTAATGTTGTACGTACGAAGAGATATTTAAAGCTGATGATTGACCATGCGAGTATCTTTACGTCCCCAAAATAGCAAGTCGGAGGACCAAACGGTCAAGTCAACAGTACATGCATTTAATGAAGCTGTCTTCTACATTCCAACGGGAAGACTGCTCCCAGTATATAAGATACACTCTGAAGAACTAAGAAGATAACTTTGCCATAACTTTTGCCAAGATAAAATTGCGTAAACAACCTTCTTGAGATCAAAACTCCATTCCTAACAAGAAAAGGCCACAGTTGGAAGATAAACATTCCTATCCTTCATCCAACTAGCAAAGGCAAAGTTACTCAGTTCTTCAACACTTCGAGAGCTTCATATACTCATCTTTTGTGAAGAAGCAACGTTGGAGAAAACTGATTCTATATCAAACACTTCTTGAAAAAGAAGGGACGTCTCAAATTAGCTGGAGTAAGTGAAGTGGAGATACTTCAAGAGACTCACTAAAACGAGACCAGCCATCAGGAAGCAGGACTGCATCCCGGGTGGCAACTAGACTTGAAGAAGACGAGGAGTGCTTCTTAAGCTCTAGGGACTAAGGCGTTGTAAATTGTTGTTTTTGCAAGCTTAGTGGAACAGTGGACTAGAGGAACGAGTTGTTCCTTGAACCACTATAAAAACCCCGGTGTCATTTACTTTAAGCTTTTAATTACTGCACTTAAGACTCTACTGACTAACTCTTAAGGTTGGACTCTGTGTCCAGCAGATCTTCCTTCAGAGTTATCAGAAAGGCAGTTTGCCTTAGTTTTCTTCTAGAGGCTACCCGGACAGAAACTTATCCGCTGCCTGGTCTAGTTCTGCCATCAGAACTTGACCATCTCTGTCACCAGATTTCGACCATCTCTGATAAGTCAGACCTAACTTGGAGAAAAGTTTAAATTCCTGAACAGTCTATTCACCACCCCCCTCTAGACTGTTCCCATTACAAACGGGACCAACAAGTGGTATCAGAGCCTCCTTGTTCTTGTAATCTTTTAGGTTACTTACTAAACAAGAGATCCACTTGTTTTAGCCTCTTTAATCTCATATTATGGATAACACTCTTTCAAAGAATCTTATGTTCTCAGTAACAAAGTTTGATGACTGAAGGATCCGCATGAAAGCTCACCTCTGCGCACTCCATGACGAAATGTGGGAAGTTCTTGATGCAGGACCTTTCACAGAGTTCACCAAGGTCAACCCTGAATACATCACTGGTAGTGGTCAACCCCAGATGATCACCAAACTGCGCCATGAATGGTCTAATGAAGAAAGGAGAAAGTACAACCTTGACAACATTGCCAAGGATATCCTCTACAAGGCCATTGATGACAAGTACTTCACAAGGATCAAGAAGTGCAAATCTACCAAGGAAATCTGGGATACTCTCACCCTGATAGGAGCTGGAGATGAGCAAGAAAAGGACAACAAACTTACTATTGCCATGAAGAAGTTTGAAGATTTCAAACTTCTACCCAAAGAATGCATAGCTGAGATGTATGCACGCTTGCTCACCCTCACTGCTGAGATATCAGAACTTGGGAAGGAACTTACTCCCAAGGAGATCAATTTGAAGGTTCTCAGAGGTTTACCTTCACCATGGAAGATGAAGGTCACTGCCATGAGAGATAGCAAGGACCTCAGAACCTACAGCACTGAGAAACTCATCTCTGATCTCAAGTCTTATGAGTTTGAGATGAATGAAGAAGAGAAAGAAGAAATTGAGGACATAACAACTACTGCCCTCACTGCCAGCACCTCTCAGGTAAATAATTTTGACCCTTCCATTCTTTTAACTGACGAATATATGGCGGCTTTTGCTAGGAAGTTCAGGAAATTCTTAAAGCCGAAGGATAGCAGAAGTCCACACTCTAGCAGAAAGCCACACCAGAAGTCCAAACCATCAGAAAGTAGTGGAGAGCTTCTCTGCTACAACTGCAGACAACCAGGGCACTTCAAAGTCAATTGTCCACACCCCATAGTCTCCAAAAGGCAAGGCCAGGAAGGAGAAAAGAAATACGAGCACCGAAGAAGGAAAGCACTCATCACTGAACAACCAGAGAAGGACCCCCTCTCTGAGACAGAGTCCAGCTCGGAATCAGAATCTGATGAAGCATTCTGTTGCCTGGACACAGAAACTGAAGACCTATGCCTTATGGGTCAATCTGATGATGAGGTATCTTCCACTTCCAACTCTAGTTTTTCTTCGGTAGGCAGAGCCTTTGATTCTGATTCAATGTCAGAATTTTGGGAAGAGTTTCAAGCCATTCAAACCACTTATTCTTCTGTTAAAGAAAAAAACAGTAAGCTTAAGGTTGAAATCCTTGACTTAAGAAAGGAGGTTGAGATCAAAATCAATCTTCTAATTAAGGAAAGAGATCAGCTGGAAGCTGAAAATGTTTCTCTTCTAAAGAGAATAAGAGAGATAGAGCCTCTTGAGATTAAGTACAAAGCTTACCAGAAGGCCCAGTCTTCAATGGAAAAGATTGTACTTGACCAACAAATTGGCACTGGTTTTGGTCTTGGTTATGGCTCAACAGAATCAGGTGAGCCTTCTGTAATGCCTAGCACCAGAGTTGCTAAGGCAGACAAGGTCATAGTGCCACTGATTTCTAGCCCCATTTGTCAGGCTGGTGTATCTGGCACCAAGGTTATTCATGAGAATGTCAGACTAGAAAAGGAAAAGATAAAGGTTCAACAGAAACCCATTTTAAAAGTTAATGAACCTGGCAGAAGACCTAACCACATGAAAGATTTTCAGAATACCAAAAATCAAAGACAAAACCATAACAGACAAACTCATGATAATCATGTCAGAAATGATCACCAGAAAGGCAGATATCAAGAGAAAGTTAACTTTAGGCAGAAAAGGTTGGCTGGTCAACTTAAGAAGCCCAAAGTTAATCGCCCCTCTGATCTTGATAGTATATGGGACTTCTACCCAACTAAAAAGGCTATGCAGAAGTATGTAAACCGGAAGCATGATCCTCACAAGCATCTGCCCAAAGTGAATCACACTTCCGTTTACTATGACTACCAGGTGGACAATGGGTACCACCCACCAAGGTTTCACTTGATGAGACCAAAGTGGTACCGACTGCCAAGACTGCATAACCCCCTAGGACCCAACATTGCTTGGGTACCTAAATCTTCCTTTTAATTTTGTAGGAACTATGTGCTGGAGCCATCTCTGAGCAAGATTGGTACATTGATAGTGGATGCTCCAGGCACATGACAGGTGACAAGAGTTGCCTAACAGAGTTCCAGAAAGTCAAAGGGCCCAGAGTTACCTTTGGAGGTAATGATAAAGATGGCCAGACAAAAGGAAGAGGGAAGCTGATAAAGAACCGGATAATCATTGATGATGTCTCTTATGTCAAGGGATTGAAATTCAACTTGCTGAGTGCTAGC